CACACACACACACACACACACACACACACACACACACACACACACTAGTCATGTTCTTTCTGTTATGGTTGCTTAGCTAGGTTTCTCCTCTTGTGCTCTTCGAATCCTGTCCAACTTTGGATATGTACTATTATGCACTGATTTCGACTTGTTTAGGTATGCCGGTATTGCCAGCAACAAGCTGAGAAATCAATATGTTATGTTTGCCAAACTTCAGAAAATCTTTGGATGTGCGTCATATGTGGTTTTGTTGGCTGTGGGAGGTATGAAAACAGTCTTCCACGGAGATGATACCTTCATATTCCAACTTCCAAGTAATATAGTAGAGTCCTGACTCCTGACTAATTTAAGGTCTCATGTAGCTTTACATTACTATTTTTTGGTGTAGGTATAAGGAAGGACATGCCATAAACCATTGGAAAGAAACCCAGCATTGCTATTCCCTTGAACTCGAAACACAACGGGTGTGGGATTATGCTGGTGACAATTATGTTCATCGCCTGATCCAATCTAAAACTGATGGGAAGTTGGTCGAGTTAAACCACCATTGCTCGCACACCAATGATGGTCACAGTGACACATTTTTGGAAAATGAAGTTGAATTTGTAATTTTCATCTTTACTCCTCCTAGGTATGATTTTTATCTTTAATTGGTCCCACTTTTTTCAGAGTTGTCTGACTTCGTAACTTTGACATACCTGCTGCAGATAGTGAACGAGTACAACGAGCTTCTTACGTTGCAGCTTGAAAGCCAGAAAAATGTAGGTTCATGTGTTTGTCAATAACTGTGAGGTTTTCTTTTCACGCTTTATGTCAACATTTTAGCCATATCTTCCAAACATATTTTTTTAGCCGTTTCTGAGTTCGATTTTCTGTCTTTCATTCTTCCGATGGAATCATGTCTTGGTGTGCCTAGATATGTATTAAGCGAATTTCGTTAAAATTGACTCACTTACCAATCACGCAATGAGAGTTTGACTTGAATATTTTTGGTCAAAGTGGCATAAGAACATGCCTTGAAAAACATGCTGCATAACTTTGTCATGAAAACTACAATGAATAGCCAATTTCGATACAACATCTTTTGTGTTTCCTTCTACAGCAGTATACCGTACATGTTAAGATATTTGCTTACTTTACAAGCTCACGCTACTTCCATCACAGTATTTTGAATCTTTACTCGAAGAAGTTGAAGAAGATATTGAAAGAGAATCTTCCAAAGCAGTTGAGAAAGCTTTGAGCCAAAATCCTAGAGTGCTGAAATTGGAGGCTAAGCTAGCCAAATGTATTGAAGAAAAGGGATTTCTTGATAATGTGAGTTATCTATCTTCCCATACCCGGTTAGACAATTTTGCAACTGACTATGAATATTTGGGAACTAAAGAATATCTATCATTTTTCTAGTAAGAATACATTTCTTTGCGTTGTTTAATTACTTTTCCCACGACATAGATCAATGACAACCTTTTGAAGAACCAAGGCATATGGGAATCAAAGATAATCGAGTGCGAAGAAAGGTAATGTATCCTTTTCATCCAGGAAATGGAGAAAGCAGTAAATTATGTTTCTTATAGTATTTCCATTACCTTCATCAATCTATTTGTTTTGTCTTAGTAAAATTGCTCGTAGCCACTAATGACGAACAATGCCTTTTTACATTCAACTGTACTATTGGATTGCACTTGATGTGTTTTCTGAAGTACGTGCGAGGTCTGAACTTATTCTTCATTGATAGGGAGAAGAAACTTTTGAAAGTGAAGCAAAAAAAGATTGAAGAACTGGAGGAGCAGGTATTCTTCTTTCCCATTGTTTGTTCTCTGGATTCTCTCTATATAGTTTTTGAGCTGCATACATAAGTAATCTTTCTCATTGTTTGTTATCGGGATATCATACATAAGTAATCTTGTCGTTTAATCCAATTACCAGGACAGAAAAAAATCCTTTATTATGTGGTATTACAGATACCCACCCCTTGATATTTGTTACTCAATAAACTGCGCCTTTAGTGGGGTATTTGTTATTCAGGAAATTAACTTGGTGGTTATTTTTATTTTTATCTGTAGAAGATAGGTTAAACCTAAGAGGCAAATTTTCAGATTCTGGAAAATGTTAATGATCGAAAGTCTGGTGCATGCGGATGAATAACTCGTTTTCTTCATTAATCAAAATGCAGCTTGGGCGCATGATGGTTAGCCTGGAATCCAATAGTGCAGAGCAACCACCAGCAACTACAAATGAACTAGTAGCAGCAGAATCATCGTCTAAAGGAAGTAAAGGTGTCACGACAAAGAACAACCATTGGAAAAACAAGGGATAAGGTGATAGAGTGAGCAAGGCCTCTTTTATGGATCTTGTTAATTTAATAGGATCTCGAGGGAGAAATGCAAAATCTAGAAGAGAAAATGAAGTTAAATTATTTCAAATAGGATTTTCTTGAAAAATCATATGCCTTTTTTTTTTTCTTGAATTTTCAATGAAATGAAATGTCCTCAGAGATTAATAATTCCAGTTTGGAACTAGGAAAATTGTTAGAAAAATGTATGTGTAATGATACTTCTAAATATGCATAGTTATATATTTTAATATGCCTTCATTATTTTCTTTAAAAGCACCGTAATGATGTTCCATTATTATTATTACTAGTATGTAACCCGTGCGATGCACGGACTGTATTTACATTAGAAAATATTAAATATTAAAATGTATTAATAAATAAAAGAGTGACAGTTCGTAGGAAAATTATCAAACCAAACAAATGTTCCTAATGTAAAAAAATATATTATTTAAACTTTCTTGTAAACAACATTATTTGTTCAATAACTGAGCAACTCGTCGTCCCCACAAACTATATTTTCAACACTTTTCTACTACTTAAACGCGAAACAAACAACATAATTGTCCGTGACTGGAAATCAATTTCTTTAAGAACATGCCAACGTACAATAAAATGTTGACTTTGACTCTTCTTGATCTATTACTTACACGCTTAACAACATACAATTGGTCGTGATCAAAAAAAGATTTTTTTTTAAGAACATGCCAATGTGCATCTCTTATCTATTACTTACACGTAAAAACAACAACATATAGTCGGTCGTTGCTAAGAACCGCTTTCTTTAATAATATGTCAACGCACATAAAGACTGACCCTGATCTTAAATGAAATCCTAAGATTAGAAGTAACTGGTGCTCTATAACTTAAATGAAATCCTCATATGGATCCTTTTATAATATGATTTACTTAGGCAGTCAGACAATGAACTGTTAGTTTAATATCGATTATACTTGATTGGCTATATAATATTCACTAATATTTATATATTTTTTATACAAAAAGACTGACCATGACTGTTAAATGGAACTCCAAAATCAGAAGGAACTGGTGTCGCTGGAACTTAAATGGAATTCTAAGATGAATCTATTTATAATATGATAATTTATACAACAGTTTGACAAATGAATTGGTGTATATCTATAAAAATATGTATGAAAAATACAAAACATTAAATATTACATCACACTAATTTTATGAAAGATATTATATATAGTAGATATAAAATATAAAACATTAGTGATTAGACACTATTTCAGGCTAATTTTTTCAAGTTGAACAATTCTTAATTGAATGTGTGACAATTTTTTAGGTAGTAAATATATATATATATATATATATATATATATATTGCAATAAATTTATATTTTGTGTATACAAAAACAAAAAAACTATTTACTATACAAAATTTTGAAAATTTTCCTTTTAAAAACAATTGACAAAAAGAATACCAATAAAGGGAATTGGTGTATATCTCAAAAAAAAAAAAAGATTTGTATATATCTCAAATAAAATCGTTCATTCTCAAAATCTGCTACAACGAAAAATATATTAAAATATTAATATAAATATATTTAGATATTAATATAAATTTATATTTTGTAATTGTTGGTTCTAATAAATATGATAAAATAAAAAAGAATCCTCACAAATGAGAATTCCAAAATTGACGCTATGTAAATATAAATATTACTATAACATTGTTTTTTTTTTTTGTGTGTATGTAACATATATGCTAATTCAAATCAATGATTCTAATAAATCTGTTAAAATAAAAAAGAATCATTTATAAATAGAGTTCCAAAAGCAACTACATATAATTATTTACATAATATTTGCCTACTTAAAGAAAACCAAGAATTTATTAAAACAAACACAAACCGAAAATCGAGTTATATGAAAATTATTCAATTAATGATTTATTTTTTATTTAGATCATTTTATATTATTTCCATCTATAGTAGGTAAATAATGTTTTGAGCGGAAAATGCTCATAAAATGTTTGAGTATGAAAAAATTATATGTTATTAAAAACCTAATTGTAAACAACATTATTAGTTTGATTATTTGGCACACTACAATAAAATGATAAAATTCCAATGGAAATCTATTCGAAAAGAGATTATTCCAACGACAATTCCAACGGATATTTCAATACTATTATTTCCGTTGGAAATTTTCAATGGATTCCAACGAATATTCCAACAAAAATATTCCGCTAGAATGAATTTTTCATTGGAATTTTCGTTGGATTTTGACAATTCCAACGGTGGATTTTTCAACGGGGTGGAAATAAAAATTCCAACGGAATTTGCATATTTCAACGGAAATTTCTACAGTAAAAAAACCATTGGAAAAATAGCAGTTGAAATCATCAAATTTCTAAGATTAACACTCACTCTTGTTTATCGTCATGACAATATAAATGAATGTTTATCTAAAAAACTTAATCTTTGAAATGTAGTGATCGTGTGTTATTTTTTAATTTCGTGATTGATGGACTCTTTTATTAATTAGTTGGTTTGAATCAATATATAACAAATTTTGTTGTCAATCGTTATTAGAGTTTTTAAATTAATTTGTGTAAATGCATAAATAAAAAGAGACCTAAACTATAGAAATTTTGTCATCTTTTGAAATCAAATAAATGACAAACACTATCTTTTAAAATAAATAATGATAATGATTATAACATTGTATTACCAAAACCGATAAGGTATATAAAATTCGTTTTCCTTTTCAAATCAATAATGAAGAAAAAGTCTAATTGGTGAAAAGATGATATATACAAATCATGATTTTAGAAATTTGATATATACAAATCTTAGCATGCGGTTTCAAGCAATTTAATAATATAATAATAGGCTGAATGAATTATGATTCAAATTCATGCAAAGAAAATTTTGAACAGATTTCTAAAATCATGATATATACAAATCATGTTTTTCTTGGAGATTTATTCGGATTTTCAAATTGGTTGGAAATCACGATTTCTAAAATCATGATTTATTCGGATTTACATTCAGATTTCTAAATTGTTTGGAGAAATAGGAGATTTATTCAGATTTTGATTCCTTATTGTTTACCAATATAAAAGTATTTGATGTTATTAAATAAAAAATAAATCCAATTTACTATTTTTAAGTGATAATTAATGAAAGAAGCGGGAAATTGTTTCTAAATTTGATTTATGTTAATCCTTCTTATATGGGATTAACATATATGTTAACATATAAGTAACATATATGTTACTTTCATGTAAATACTAATATATATATATATATATATATATATATATATATATAAATTATTTCTAACAATTATTAGAAATATGATTGATTCTTAAAAAGAATCTTTAATTGACAATTATTAATTATATGTTTTATATTGTATTTTAAAATTTCTTAAAAATATGTATGGTAAGTGTATTTCTTTAATTAAGTGTATTAAGTATGGTAAGTGTATTTCTTAGATTTGTTTTGATTTTGATTCCATATTTTTTATTGTATTCCTAAAAAAAATTGGATAAAAAAGGCATGCTAATAAATAGAGATATTGTTAATTTACTATTTTTAGGCAATAATTAATGAAATTGGCGGGAAAGTATTTCTAAAAATAAATTATGTTAATCCTTATTATATATTAATAGATTATATTATTATTATTATTATTATTATTATTATTATTATTATTTATTATTATTATTAATAATATTATTATTATTATTATTATTTCCCTTTGTCCCATTAAAATCCGTACTTAATCAAATTGCTCTACCATGTTCAAAGTAAACCAATATTTTAAAATAAAATTAACCATATTATGCCTTACAGCCTAAAGAATAAAATTTATACCATTTTGTAAATAACTAGTACGTACCCCGTGCGATGCACGGAACATAGATATT